CCGCGCCTGCAGGATTCGATATCGATCTCGAGTTTCCGTTCTGTTCGTTCGGTCCAGCGAAATCAGCTGCAGGTTCGTTGCAGTCTGGTCCGGTTTAACTCCGAGCGAGTGTATGCAACTGAAGAGACTCGTTGCACGGTTGTTGCATTGTTGCATGTGGTTGCACAAACGAAACGAAAGCGGAGAAACAAACAGCAGCATAAGAGTCACGGTCTATCGTATCGGAACGTACGTTGTTACAAGCTATGAGTTAGGAAAGGACGGCGTCAGAAACGATACTTGGTGCGTATCTCTAAACTCATGTTCGTACCATTTGGAAACGCAAATTGATTCGCCTGTTGTGCAAGTGCTAACACGGAAGTAACGACGCTGCTGCTCGTGCCCGACAGCAGATTCTTTTTTTTTCGCCAAAGTGTCTTCATCAACACAAGTGTCGAACGTTCCCGGAACGCGAACATCGCGAACGTCGCGTCAGAGATCCAAGATCGGATCTTGCAACCGCGTCCGCAGAGCAGAGCCGCATAAGCTTTCAAGTCTCTTTCAAGTGTCTTTCTTTCTTCTCCTCTTCTTTCCCTATTTTTCAATTTTTCAATTTTCCTCCTCGTGAACGAGCAACTATTCAAAAAACATTCGACATTCGGTGAAACGTCCGACCAGTCTACCGGTGTAGAATCTATTCGACGATATTGTCGTAACAGAGATTGATTTACCTCGGTTCAACGTTTCTCGGTATCGAGACCTCCTACCTTCGAGAAGAATAAAAACCGTGAACTCCACACCGAACAGATCCAATGTTCATGCAATTCTACGTATTCTTTTCTCACAGCGCAACTCGCGCAGATTCTCTCGTAAATACATTCACCTTCGACCGAAAGCAAAGATCTCTTTATGCGCGCGCGCGGTGGTCAAAGCGGAACCATACATTACACGGTCAGATTTTCTCCACAATAAACTGTACTGTGACACTTGGACGACTCACGGACGATACATTCTACATCACTTTGTCCGTCTTTCCTTTTCTTTTACGCTCTTCGAATTCGCCAGGCAAGATCACTCGGTATCATTCCCCTTGCAGCAGAGTTGTCACAAGGTGAAGCAAAGGTTTTGCTGAACTGTCGTGTACCGATTGTTCCGGAGAAACGTAAATCTACTACGGGTGATTGATGGTGATATGGTGATGCAACGTGTATCGATTCGATCGTCTTTACGAGGACGAGGAAAGAAAATTTAATACGTTATGATGTACGACGTTAAACATCGTCGTTATCGAACGAAGAGCAAGCAACATCGTCGTCGTTGTCGTCGTTGTCGTCGTCGTCGTCGGCGGCGGTTCTCGGTTACCGATGATCTCATAGTTCTCGTGAATATTGGTGTTGCTGATGTTGTTCTTGCCGTTAACCATTCTTGTTGCTGTACTTATTGACTTACAATTTATTAACGTTACGAAAATAATCTTGCTTCTTTTTCTTTTTTTTTTTTTTTTTTTACAGCATTATTCTTCCATCTGGATTCATAATCTATATAAACACACTTTCTTTCTCAGCCTATAAGTCCAACGCGGCTATATTCCCTTCGAAACACCAGCCCATTGTCTCGTATTCGCGAGAATGCGCAGTTTTCACCGACAAAAACGAGATAAAACGTTACACAAGCCGCATTACGGTGTAATGTATCTTTAATACGCTGAGCATGGAACTTCTCTCTTCGCACACAGAGTTTTTCAGCCGTTCTTTCATTTTATAATAATAAACGTTCAGCTCTTCCTCTTTCTTTTCCTTTTTTTTTTTTTTTTTGTTTTTCATTCTCTTCTCCTTTTCACTCATTCTCGGTTTCGATCGAAGAGAATTCCCAGCTCGTCGTTAACAAATACAACATACGTACTTAAAAGAAGAAAAAGAAGAAAAACAGGAACGAAACATTCGTTCGTATTTACGCTCGACGTTTTTATATAAATTCCAATAAGATTCCACGATGAAACAAGTTGGTTGAACAAAACCACGGGCGCAAAGATGACGCGCATCTGTCGGTTGAACGAGTTAAGAACGTAAAGCGAACTTTTCTCTTTTTTCTCAACGTTTCGAGACACACGAATCTCCGAGATTTCTGTGTGGTTGGTTCTCTTGTTCTCTTTGGCTTGTCGGAACTAATATACGTCATCATCTAACAACAATTTTACAGATCGTCGAAAAGACACGATCGGTCGGTCTTTTGCCCCGAGCATTCTCGTGACATTCCTGCTCAATCGATCGTATATTTATATAATTATCTTCGGTAAAGACGGTAGTCGGAATTTCTCAATGTCCGCGTGTTAATACGCGAGCGACAGCAATGTCGAAGGATGTAGAGGGACGACCGGCGATGAACTCACAAAACGTCTATCATTCCTCCGTCCGAGAGAAGGCGGTATCGTCCAACACGCTGGTCCATGTCCACTAAGGGTGAACAGACATACAGAGAGACAGTCAATGGTCAATATATCGTGTGTATCTCGATTTCTTTA